AGTGAACAATGTCCCATTTTGTTTCTCCATCGTTCGTGTCAGTAGGCGGAATATTGCCGGATTGCTGGTGTCAGTAGGAATGAATGCCCCGTCGATAGTGCCCCGTCGTTGATGTCGGCGGCGGCAGGTATTATGCCCCGTCGTTGATGTCGGCGGAATGTATTATGCCCCGTCGTTTATGTCGGCGGCATGTATTATGCCCCGTCGTTGATGTCGGCGGCATGTATTATGCCCCGATCGTTGATGTCGGCGGCATGATGTCGGCGGCATGTATTATGCCCCGTCGTTGATGTCGGCGGCATGTATTATGCCCCGTCGTTGATGTCGGCGGATGTATGTATTATGCCCCGTCGTTGATGTCGGCGGAATGTATTATGCCCCGTCGTTGATGTCGGCGGCGCCCGTCGTTGATGTCGGCGGATGTATTATGCCCCGTCGTTGATGTCGGCGGCATGTATTATGCCCCGTCGTTGATGTCGGCGGCATGTATTATGCCCCGTCGTTGATGTCGGCGGCATGTATTATGCCCCGTCGTTGATGTCGGCGGCATGTATTGTGCCCCGTCGTTGATGTCGGCGGCCCCGGTTCGATTGTATTATGCCCCGTCGTTGATGTCGGCGGCGGGTATTATGCCCCGTCGTTGATGTCGGCGGCGGGTATTATTGTGCCCCCCGTCGTTGGTGTCGGCGGCGGGTATTGTGCCCCGTCGTTGGTCGTCGGCGGGGTATTGTATTATGCCCCGTCGTTGATGTCGGCGGCGGCCCGTCGTTGATTGTGCCCCGTCGTTGATGTCGGCGGCGGGTATTTATGCCCCGTCGTTGATGTCGGCGGCGGGTATTGTGCCCCGGGTCGGCGGCGGGAATTCTGCCCCGTCGTTGGTGTCGGCGGCGGGTATTGTGCCCCGTCGTTGATGACGGCGGCGGGTATTGTGCCCCGTCGTTGATGACGGCGGGCGGGTAATTCTGCCCCGTCGTTGATGTCGTTGATTATGACGTTGGCGGCGGGGAATTCTGCCCCGTCGTTGATGACGGCGGCGGGAATTCTGCCCCGTCGTTGATGACGGCGGCGGGAATTCTGCCCCGTCGTTCGGCGGCGGGAATGACGGTTGATGACGGCGGGGAATTCTGCCCCGTCTTCGATGACGGCGGCGGGAATTCTGCCCAGTCTTCGATGACGGCGGCAGGAAAAATGCCTCATGGGCCAGATATAGGCAAGCAGAGGGCCACAGTTTGGAAACCAATGATATACAGGTGAAACTCGAAAAATTAGAATATCGTGCAAAAGTTCATTTATTTCAGTAATGCAACTTAAAAGGTGAAACTAATATATGAGACAAATCACGGCTTGAACTATCTTGCTTCTCATATATTAGTTTCACCTTTTAAGTTGCATTACTGAAATAAATGAACTTTTGCACGATATTCTAATTTTTTCGAGTTTCACCTGTACATCATCCTCAGGAAGGTTCCCATCTCCAGCTCAGGCTGACTGAGGATCTCCTCCTGATTGCTGGGAGTTGTAGTTCAGTAAAGAGGACCCCCCCCCCCCCCCCAGTGAGGGACAGTGTACCCGTGTGTGCTGATCACTTCTCATAGGTCAGAGCCCAGGCAGGACAGCAGACTGTTATGTTCTATTAGTGGTGAGGTCTGTCTGCCATTTCCATATATTTTATATACTGTACTGGTATAGCAGGACCTGCACCATTCACATATAGAGATAAAGACCCCTGCGTTCATTTAAGGGCCCCAGGAGCGCACTGTACCCTTTATCCTTGGCTATAGGGCCTGTTCATATTGTAAAACGTCACCTCCGGGCCCTGGGGTCACTGTTGCCAGCCAGCATGGCCGGGGAAGAAGCTAATGGAACACAATCTGTGTTCTATTAGCTTTACTGGAGGACAGGTGAGAGATATGGGGCTCTTTAAGACCCCTGATGTCTCTTTAAAGAGGTCCTGTCACCAAAAAAATGCATCATATAGGGGACTTTTTGTTCTCTCTACCTGATTAAACAAAAGTTTAAAGGATAAGTTCACTTTTTAGAAAAAAATAACAAATGCACATTCTTTTGCAGGTAAAAAAATGTGCATTTATTATTTTTGTCTACAGGAGCCTGAAGAGCATTGCGCCAGCGATCAGTAGGATTGCCACCTCTTCCCTTTAAAACTGAATACATATTAATTACACAGGTTCTGTTGCTAATTTATTGCAGATAAGGCTCTAAGTGAGTTTAATTACCACCTTCATCAGCCTCAGAACCTGCGTAATTATTGTGTTCAGTTTTAAAGGGATGAGGTGGCAACCATAGGACACAGTGGTCACTGCACATGCCGCACTGCCAAAGTAGATCGCTGGTGCCATGCAGGTCTCCTGCAGACCTGTCAGATTGTCCATATGGGATGTATGAGTAAGCAGATATTCTAACAGGAAGCTTCAAAGAACTACTGCGGGGCTCCACAGCACTGTGGTAGTTCATTGAAAACTACAAGCCCACAGCCGCTAAGGCTGCTGGGACTTGCAGTTTATTCATTTACAGAAGTCTGTGAATGAGTGATGCGACTGTGGGGGCGGAGCCCCACACAGCCACACTGTTTTCAAATTTGACAGGTGGTATGGGGAGACTTCGCACCATACTATCTGTCAGAGGGAGAGGGTTGGAGCGGTGGCTGCAGCTATGGGTACATGTTACATGTTCCACCCTAAAAACGGGTGGAACATGTAACATTTTCCGAAAGGTGAACTTATCCTTTAACCCTAACCCTTATCCTAACCCTAACATGTGGCTTTGGACACATTAAGGTTCCTGCATTACTTTGCTGCTACTTGAGTGCCAGAGAGTGTAAATTCGTATCAAAGTCACATCAAAGGTAAACTTATCCTTTGATAAATTAATTTAAAGTTTAAAAAAAAAAAGTAAGGTCTCATGCACACAGGACATTTTTGCAGCCACTTTTAAGGGCGTCAGATTATATTTTTTTTTTCTTACTGCTTCCGAATGCTCCTGTTATCCTGTGTGTCCACTTTTAGTAGCGGGGGCGTTTATCAACAGGAGAAAAAACCCAGGGCCACTGCGTCCAGGAGCAGCAACAGAAAATGCTTGACTCATCTAAACTAGTGGTGCACCGAAATGAAGATTCTGGTACTGAAACCGAAAATTCAGGATTCACTTGGCCGGAAACTAAAACCGAAACAGACCGTTTTTCAAATTTTTTTTTTATTATTATTATTTAACCACTTGCCTACCAGGCACTTATACCCCCTTCCTTACCAGGCCAATTTTCAGCTTTCAGCGCTGCCGCACTTTGATTGACAATTGCGCGGTCATGCAACATTGTACCCATATGAAATTTTGATCATTTTTTCTCACAAATAGAGCTTTCTTTTGGTGGTATTTAATCGCCACTGGGCGCTTTACTTTTTGCGCTATAAATTTAAAAAAGTGCAAAAAATTTGAAAAAAAAAAAAAAAAGTTTACTTGTTTCTTTTATAAAATTTTTCAAACAGGTATTTTTTTTCTCCTTCACTGATTTGCGTTGATGAGGCGGCACTGATGGGCACTGATAGGCGGCACTGATGGGCACTGATAGGCAGCACTAAAGGGCACTGATAGGCAGTACTAATGAGGTGGCACGGATAGGCGGCACTGATAGACAGCACTAATTAGGGGTCACGGATAGGCGGCACTGATATGCAGCACTGATGATAGGCGGCACTGATAGGTGACACTGATGATGGGCACTGATAGACGGCACTGACTGGCATCACTTCTGGGCACTGACTGGCGGCACTGACTGGCACAACCCCTGGGCACTGACTGGCAGCACTGCTGGGCTGCACTGGTGGGTGGCACTGGTGGGTGGGCACAGGTGGGTGGCACTGGTGGGCACAGGTGGGTGGCATGGTGGGCAGAGGTGGGTGGCACTGGTGGGCACAGGTGGGTGGCACTGCTGGGCACATGTAGGTGGCACTGCAGAGTGGCACAGGTGGGGGCACTGCAGAGTGGCACAGGTGGGGGCACTGCTGGGCACAGGTGGGGGCACTGCTGGGCACGGGTGGGCGGAGCTAGTGGGCGCACTGCTGGGCGGAACTTGCGGGTGTCACTGCTGGGCACCGATCATCAGGGCACTGATCATCAGTGCCCTGATGATCGGTGCCGATCCCCGCTCTGACAACTGCCGGTTCTCGGCAGTACTTTCCTCACGATCTGACAGCGTGAGGAAAGTGCAGCCGAGAACCGGCACTTGCATTTCCCTGTGATCAGCATGTCATTGGACACCGCTGATCACGTGGTAAAAGGCCGGTGGGATCGGCCTTTCATCACATCACGTGATCAGCTGTGTCCGTAGGACACAGCGATCACGAAGATCGCCGGGTGCGCGCCCCCTGGGGCGCGCAGGAGAGCGCGTTCTGGGAGGACGTCATATGACGTCCACTCAGAACTGGCCGGCCGCGGTGAAGCCGTCATTCGGCTATGCGCGGTCGGCAAGAGGTTAAGCAAATAACATATGCTGGAATGTTATTGTTTCAGTTGAATAAATCTATTTAAATTGTTATTATTAAGGTAATGATTATTTTTCTCCTTCCTAAGTACAACAGAAAAGTTGTCCAAATATGAATGATTAACCTATTAAACTGGGGATAAAAAAACTAATATGAAAAGTTGTTATTCTAAAAATCTTCATCTACTTGCATATTAAAGTTATACCAGCAAGAATTAGTCTTTATGTAGAAAACTAGGATTTAAATCAAGCCTTACTGACTAGTGATTTAAATCGTGATTTAAATCAGTTTGATTTAAATCAAATCCACCCTGACCAAAATCTTGTTGAATCTATGCCACAAAAAATGAAGGCAGTTCTGAAGGCAAAAGGGGGTCCAGCCCATTACTAGCAAGGTGTACCTAATAAAGTGGCTGGTGAATGTATTTAGTACAGCACACTCGGGTGGCTCCAGCAGGATGTGAAATTAATATTGTTTCCATTTATTGTCATTGATAGAGTAAGTATGGAAGGACAGCCTGTGGTTACCACCAAGCAAGCTGAAGAGGTAATTAATGGGTGTACTACCCAAGTGGTCTGCTCTGCCTTCACAGATCATATTCTGGTTGTGGTGACACAGTACGGGAAGTTGGGCACACTGGTCTATGTGACTCCTAACTCAGTAACTGGAGACTTGGGCAATCCCACCCTTACCACCAAAGTCCTTCTAGGATGTGATGAGGTAAGCATGACATTTTGTATCATTTTATTCTGAAAGTATGAGGTATAGGCACAGTGGTTAGCACTTCTGCGTTGTAGTGCTGGGGTCCTCAGGTCAAATCTCGACCAGAACAGTATCTGCATCAAGTTTTCATGTTCTCCCTGTACTTGCTTGGGTCTCTCTGGGTACTCTGTTATCCTCCTAAACGTCTAACATGCTGTTAGGTTAAATGGCTGTTGTCTAAATTGGCCATAATATGTGTGTACAGGTCAAACAATCCCAGCTGTGGCCTCTTATGGCTGACCCTGGTAACACTCCCTTGAGTACACATCTCAGGCTTAAAGCCACAAATGAATTAGGGTTCCGAAGTTAGAAGTGCACCAAAGATCATAACACAACGATGGCATTAGAGAAGGGAACTTGAAGGTATATTTGTAATTTACAACCTTTTCATAAAACTTGTTGTTCTGCATAGTATGTGTATGGGCTATTGCACTCCAAGCAACAATCATCAGTTTAAAGATCAGTCCTTAAGTAATGGGCAGATGATACTACTCATAGCACTTGGTGCACCTCTGCATCCTCAACACCTTTCACTTCCTGCTGACATTACAGCTGGGCATTACTTTCTCTTTGGGATGCACGATTATCCCACCACTGCACTATCAATTTTTAGGTGGACTGACCTTCTGGCCTCAAATTATACTATAGAGAAGCAAGGCCTGGCTTGGATGTGGGACTCTGCAATCTGACTTTGCATATAGAACACAAGGTTTGGCACACCATGCCCCAAAGCAAAATGGGACCTGTTTATGGAAGACTGAACTTTTAAAGCAAATCTGTTATGTATAAAAGTGAAGACACCTAAAGGTGCCTGAACATGCTTTCACCAGCCTCATATTCCTGCTGTTATGCATTCTGCCAACGCTCCCTACACAAAGCCAAGCCAATTATGGTGATGAAGCAATAGAAATGAGTGGGAGGGAGCAGGCAAGCTTCGACACTACCGGGAAGTAGTTCACTCATAGGTACCTGCACTGTATACCCTTGGGATTAATAAAGTATTCTAAATCAATTTTGTTTTTGTATCCTTAACCACTTTCCATCCGGCCCATGTATATAAACGGCCAGACGGGAGCAGTGCAGGGGCGGATGGCCATTTATAAAAACATCCTCCCTGCTTGTGCACTCCCTGGGACTGCGCAGCACCGCGATTCGGAGGACTCAGCAGAACACCGATCGTTGTACGGGACCTCTGTGTGAAGTCCCGTTCATGCGATCACTGATTGGCCAATCAGTGATCACATGAAGAGTAGTAAGCAAGATGCCACTTCTGACATCATTGCTTACTACGTCTGACATCTGTGAATGATCACAGAGGTCACATGGTACAATGCTATTCACAACAGCCTTGTACCATGTGACATGCTGTGACCAATCACAGCTCACACAGTATTTCTCGATGGCTGCAGGAATGCAGCCAGAGAGAAGGAGAAATTATTCCTTTTACAGCCTTTATGGGTGTAAAAGCAATCAGTGTAAAAAAAAAAAAAAAAAAAAAAAATCTACATCACCCCCCACAAGTAGTGGTGACACTGTACTGCTAGGGTGACGGTATGAAAAAAAAAAACAAAACATAAATAACAATATAAAATAAAAAATGTAAAAATTTAAAAAATTTATCAATTTTGATTATAAACTAATTTGGGTTATTTATTTTCACTAAAAAGATAACTGAATATATTTTGGCCAAGGTTTATGAAGAAAGAATATTTATTTGCAATATTTTATAAGAAAAACTTTTTTTTGAAATTTTTGGACTTTTTCATTTATATAGCAAAAAAAATAAGAATCCCAGTGGTGAATAAAGTTTTATCTGTATAAAAAAAAAAAGATAAAAAATTCATATGGGTACAGTGTTGCATGACTGCGCAATTGTCATTCAAAGTGTGATAGCACGGAAATCTGAAAATTGGCCTGGACAGGAAGGGGGTAAAAGTGTCCGGACTGGAAGTGGTTAATGTGTGCACCATGTTCTAATTCATCGTATTGTAGACCTTCTATTAAAATAATAGAACAGAACAAGATCTATGTGTGATGCAGTTCTTATGCCAGCACAGTAAGCAAAACGTGCTGCTGTTCTTTGTTTTTTGCCAGCCTAATGTAGCAAAATATCTCCCAGTACTATGTATACCTAAAATAATAAAAATAAGGCTACCAGATCTGGAGTATCCTGGAAACCTTACTAGATCCACAGTCATCTCCTTTACCCTCCTTACTACAGGGACTGCCATAGGCTAAATATCCACAACAATTGGGTTGATTTTCTAAAGGAAAATAGGCTGTTCACTTTGCAAGAGAATTTTCCTCAGAGCCTAGTAAATGTGGTGTCACTTGGCAACGAATGCCTGATCACGTGCAAGAAAAATAAATCCATTTTTGCTTGTACGTGATTGGATGATGGAGGTCAGCAGAGGCTCGCCTCATTCATTATGGTCTGAGGAAATTTCCCTTGCAAACTGAACCATCTATTTGCCATTAGGAAATCAACCCCAGTACGTTTTGGTCTATTGTAATCCTCATAGGGGGGAGAGTATAGAAGGTGACCATACAATAATCTCACCATCCACTAATGACTGACAGCTTAAATTCCAATGTGTTTTTGACAACACCACCGCTGAGGTATATATACTGTAAATGGGCATTTTTTTCCAGTGTCTTTAACCTCCAGGTGTTGTTTGCAGGCAGCCCATTAAAGACGATTTGGATGCAGTGGCTGCATGGACACATTAGGACAAGCGGCAAGTCTAGGAGGCTGAAACATTGCCCAGTTTGCGGTATATGGGCTTCAGTGCCCAAGTAAACAAGTTACTAAAACTGGCCTGTAAAGCAGTCAGTAAGTTTTGGTTAGGGATCCTCCCCACTGATGCAGTGCGATTTTCCTGCACCACGGGTGCAGCGCAAAGTACCCGTGGGTTTCGTAAGATTTATCTATGGTTTGCCATAGACTTCTATTGCATTGGGGAGTTTTGATGGGTTTTCTTAAAGCGGAGCTCCACCCAAAAGGGGAAGTTTTCAGGACTGGTCCCCCGCTCCCCATTAAGGATTGGCACCTTTTGGGGGGCAGGGGAACAGGTACCCGAATTTGACAGGTCCCACTTCCGGTCCGATCGCCTAGGCGATCGTTAACGGAAGGTGTCCTCCCTCCCTCTCTCCCTATAGTCTTTTGGGACATGTGACAGGTCCTAGAAGACTACAGGACCATTCACGAAGTGCAGCGCTACTCGAGCATGCGCATTGGGTACCCGGCTGTGAAGCCGCAAGCTATCACAGCCAGATGCCCACAGGGAAGATGCCGGCCTCCTGGAATACAGGACGGCCGGTGAAACGGGCTGCAGGGGACACACCACGGCACCGAGGGACAGGTAAGTGGCTGTTTTTTAAAAGTCAGCTACAGTTTTTGTAGCTGCTGACTTTTATTTTTTGATAGGTCGAGTGGAACTCATCTTTAAAATGCACCAAAATTACTGCATACAAGACTTTTGTTACGCTTTCAGAAAATGCCCCAAAACCTCCCAGTGCAATAGAAGTCTATGGCAAAGTTCAGGAAACCCGCAGGTACACTGCGCTGCACTCACAGTGCAGGAATACCACACTACGTCAGTGTGAAGGCAACCTTAGTGACGATAAACATGGAAGGTTCGAATGTGTCTGATGCACGAAGCAACTATTCACATCCACCTGACATTTTCCTATTAATGGTACGGAAATAGAAGTCCATCTGTGCAATTCAATTCCTTTTTATTAATAATTTTCTTTGTTTGTATTTCTCCAGCCTCTCGTTCATGTCTGCGCCAAGAATTTGGTTAGCTTTGTATCTCAAGAATCGAAGAACAAGCCAGTACTTCTAGGCATTGCACTAAAGGACCAAAGTCCGGATTGTATGACTGCACTGAAAGCCCTGATAAAGAGCTGTCAGGTTTGGTGATGGACTGAATACCTTTCTTAGGGTTCATTGCTGTAAATGATTGTTGAATACATTTAGAATGTGTACATTGGATGTTTCATTAACTTTGTATTACAAACATTTTATACATAAGCTTCACTGCTTAGGCTCTGATTTTTCTTTGTGTTATATGAGCAAGAAATGTGTTTTTATTCTGAACAGTTTGAACGCCCAACTAACAACCATACCTCTGGGACATTAAAACATTGTAGGAGATTTTGGGGTTGCAACCAACAACGGCCAGTATTCCATAAGTAATATTTGCTGTTTTACTTCATGAGACAATCAACCAAGATTTCTACGAGAAAGAGGATCTGATTTGAAAAAGAGGATCTGCATGTCATCAGCTGATTGACTCATTAAAGAAAAGAGCAAAGATTAATTGTGGCCACCTGGCCTCTTGTAGGTGCACCATGTGAGGAGGTCATATTCTCCCCCATACCGGCAAGGAATGTATATTATGTGGCAAAATGCTTTAGTAATAGTGATATGTGATAAAGGACATGAGAGAAACATGTTGGTTTTCATAGCTGTCCTCTTCTTCTGGAAATGCTAGTTGCCTGGCTGCCAAATATGCTGAGCCACCAATCTGGAACAAGTATGTATATTGGGTATTGAGTCTTTAATTGCTGGTGACTCTGCCAAGTAACTAGTATTTTTAGAAGGAGGTCAGCAGTAGCAGCCTCTATATTTACCTCATGGAAAAAGCCAAACGTAAACCTTCCCTACGAGTAGTGCAGGCTGCCATTGCCGACCTATTTCTTAAAATGCCATTTGCTTGGCTGTAATGCTGAAACTTTCTGTCTGGTCTGAGTCACAAACTGGAACAAGCATTCGTATAGGTGAGAAGTTACAAACCCTTATCTACATACTTTTTCTGGGTCAGTAACGTCAACCCAAAGCCAGAGGGTCAGTTTACAGCCTGGCAACTAGCATTTGTGGAATGAGAACTCGGCAATGACAGCCTCTTTGTCTCTTGCAGGAAACATTTCCTTTAAAGCAGAAATCTGAGGGAAAAAAATTCTCGTCTCGTGCAGTGGGGCTGTGCTGGCACTGCATGGGTCAAATGCTTGTCTTATTCTAAGGGGTGAGGACACTGAAGATATACTCACCTGACCCACTGATCCTTCCCACACATTTTGTAAATGGACTGTTCCTGACGGCAGAACACTCAAGGCGTGCTCCACAGACAGGAACAGTCCACAGCTGGACCGTGGGGGAGTGCAGTTTTCTGTAGGATTAGCGGGTCAGATGAGTATGAGCTTAGTCCTCACCCCTAGAAAAAACGAGCAGCCGATCCATGCAGTGGGGGCACAGACCCACTGCATGCTAATTTTTTTTGCATGCTTTAATGCCTATTTTAACCCAAGAACTAAAATGCAATATATTGCAGCTTAACAGTCCTGCAATGCGGTGGCTGCCTTGGGTTTTTTCAAGCGTTTTTTTTTTTTTTTTCACACCTGGTGATCCTGCCAGTAACACACTTCCTGTCCTAGTTTGATAGCACTCACTCACTGTACTGTAAATAGGAAGAGGTATTGTGGACCACATCAAGACCAATGCAGGCTCTGAAAGGGGGAGGGGCCTGAGTATGGCGCCGTGAGCCTAAGGAGCTCCAGACGCCAAGGAAGAGGATCCGCTGCTGTCTTCTAAGAGGAATATCCCTCAGACCTTACCTTGTGGCCAGGCATCAGTCTCTTCTCCGGATCCGGATTGGAAGGTTGTGAGAGGGGAGGAGAGGTGTCGATTTCCCACCGCGGTGGAGCGGAGGTGCAGCGGTGGAAGGAGCCGGCAGGTGCCCAAGTGACAGGGTAGGAGGAATCCTGGGGAGGTCCCCCTGTAGTGCTGGGGATGGAACGCCGGGGCTGCCTGTGTGTAAGACAGGCTACAGAGTGACAGGTGAAGTCACTAATGAGTCACTGTAGAGTGATAGTTCTGGATATCCTGGAGGATAGGAGTGAGCCCTGTAGGTATCGAGTGGCTGTAGCTCTCTGCCTAGTGGTCCTGGAGAGGAGGGTTGTTCCCTGGAGATACAGGAGGAAATAAAGATTGTATTTTGGAAGATCCTTGAGGAATCGCTGTGTCCTGTGACTAGGAGGAAAAGACCTTGAAACACCTGATAAAGGGAATTGGAATTGACCGACTTCCCGATCAAAACATCCATCCACAAGGAGGCAGAGAGTTGTGCCAACAAGGACTGGGTGAGTTGGTTGCCGTGGACAACAGTTTAATACATATATCAATAGTGCCTGATTGTCGTTGTAGGAAATTGGACATTTGTGTCGGGTGTTCTCAGTAGGTCAAGTGTAAGCCAGAGAAGCAGGAAAACGTGACCATACCCTATTCCCTTGTGAACATATTTAAATCTGCATATATGATTCGGACTAACTTTCTCTATATTATGTGCAAATAATTCCATTTATCTTGAGGAACAGAGACACCAAAGGAGGAGGGGCCCTCAATCAAATAATAATTTGAGTACCATTAAGAGATATATGCCAATACAAGAAAAGAGCCCTGAGAGACAAGGTCCTGAGAATCAAAAGGAAACAAAGAGAAAGTCGGAGGGAGAACACACTAGAATGTCATTTGAAATGCAAGGTGGAGATCAACCAGATGAATCTATAATTAATGAGAGTATAATAGAACAAAGTACGAGGTATTGTACTCTATGTATGAAAGTGTTGCCATCCTAAGACCGGTCTACAGAACACCTCCTTCTCTGCTTATCTCCATAACATGGGTGGGGTATGTGTTTGCAGTTCATAGAGGTGTTAACACACTGCTTGAGATTAAAATTCAGAATACGTAGAACCGCATTGAATTTCTGGCAGGATCTACAGATATTTTTTGCACTTATTGAACAGAACAAAACACTTCCAGTGTTAAGTCATCCAAAGCCGAACGTCACCACTCCAGGCTGAAGCCTCTCCTCCACTGTGGATACTCCAAGTTCTGGCAAAAGATCCCAACCTCTCGTAATCCCAAAGGAGAATATATTACACAAGGCGCACACCGGAACATTCAATTCCTTTAAGCGCCTTCATTTGCCTGCATCAGACTGGCTGTACAGTAAAGGCCCATACACACGAACAGAAAACCGTACTAAAATACCACTTTCAAAGCAATCGTATGATTATCTGATCTGATAGCACACAGCTTCCGAGAACAGATCAAGACAGGTCTTCCGAAATTATCTGATGGGACAAGCACAAAAAAATTTTCTTGTACAATACCAGATTGTATGAGTTCCATTTTAATCAGTTCAGTTTTTGACCGAAAAATACAATACATTACATCACGTCCAAATTTTTATTCTGTCATATGAATTTTTCGTAACTTTTGTAACCTCTTTATTTTCGATGAGCATGCAAGAAAAAAAAAAAATGACGATCATTTGTCCAATAATCTCATCGTGTGTACCAGGCCTAAGTCTGTGATCAATTTAATATACTTGGAATCTATTCACAGTGTATTTTGGGGTGAGTTCCATTGGGTTTTCATGTGTATTTCAGGGCAAAATAAGAAAAAAAACATATGCAGTACATCTGTGTCATACATGCACATCTCCTCATGTTGTATTTCTTTAAAGACCCTGTAAATACACAACAATACCCACTGACCTTCCTGCTGGGCCAGCAACACACAGCATTTCGGTGGCCTGAATGGTGTCAGCCCTGCCCATTGTGTTTTGCCAAACTACACAAAACTTTGCACTCTCCTCTTCTCTACAACATAAAGAGGAATTATTTTGTAGTCCACAATAAGGCCCCTTTCAGACGGGGCGGATCTGTCAGTATGATCCGCCTGCTCAGTGGGAGATCTCTCCGCTGAGCAGGCGGATGACAGGTCTCTGTCCGCTCTGCTACTGCAGAGCAGACACAGACATTGCCCGCTGATTTCAATGGGATGGTTAGATGGAAACGGACTGCCTGGATGGATGGGAAACAGATCCCCATCTGTCTGTTTTTGACGTACAGGATCGAATCGGATGCCGGCCAATCAGGTCCATTTGAAAAACGGAAAGATGTACGCCATCGGTCCGCTCGTGTTAAAGGGGCCTAAGAGCTAGGAGAGCTAATTTGACTCCTTGAGATAACACTGGAAGAGTGCACAGGACAGCTCTGAATTTCTGGCAGGATCAACAAGTATTTTCTTTGCACAAACAAATATACAGTTGAAAGTGTTTTGTTACATCTAACAAACTGAAAGGGAACAAATAAGAGAAGTTCATTGTTAGGGTTTATATACATGTTAAATAAGAAACTGCTACAATATAGAGTGATTGTACAAGACACACTGCTGATGAAAGACAGACCAATGAACTGTTTGCAGAATAAAGCAAATACTGCAGTCTATGACACTGTACCCTGGGTCAGAGAGAAGAACAAACAGATTGTAAAGCTTACTGCAGGAGAATGTGTTTTCCTAAGTGACAGCTGTGAGTAGAGGAGGTGACCATCAGCCTTGATGTATTGGCCTGTTCTCACTGACAGCTGGAGCTACTTACAGCCTGGCCTGGAAGACATCTGATTGATGGTTGTGGGAAAGTTACTCTAGTTCTACATATGAATTCAGCCATACATTGCGCTGCTGCTCATTACTTATATGACAGTGATACAAGATTTCGGCATTCTGCAACCACATCTGAATTCATTTGTGTTTGCACTTTTATATCTTACTGTTAGGAATTAAAGGCTTATTTGGGTATGGTCTGGGACCCAGCTGAGAAAATGTCACATTTTTGTATTTATTCAAGTATATCCAGCCCTAAGAACAGAACAAAAGCATTCAAAACTGATGGACTTTATCAGTATCCACAAACTTAAAACAGATATCAAAGCATCCAAAATGTATTTCAACAACACAAATAACAAAAAAAGAAATCCAAAACGTGTGCTTATACCCAAGAACAGAAATGTTACCAGTACTTGGATGTGGTGGCTGCATTTGTTTTAATTTTTGGTAGCTTTTGTTGTTTG